CTTGAAATTGTATTAAACGCATTGCCGAAATCCAACAAAGAAAGTATTGTTAATTTTTGATTTTCCATACCATAACGAATGTTATCAGTAATTTGAAAATCTACTGAAGTCGTGTTATAATCAGGATTAAAGCCGGATTTTAAGGAATTGAAACGGTTATATACTCGTAGATAAGAGCTTAGTTGTTGGGACACACAGTTGTTTAACACTTTAGAAAAAGGAAACGTACATAATTTAACAGGTAATCAGAATAACATTTAAGATTTATCTTTTTAGCAAGAGGAATTACGTTAGCGTAATTCCAAATATACGGAAAATTTGCAGTTTTCGCCGAATATTTTAAGATGAAAGTAATAACAGTGGTAGAGCCACGCGGCAGCTTTTGCTGTCACATGGATGGGCCGGCTCGAACCGGGGTGGTACCACGACCTCACAGAAAACCAGCGTGAAGTAGAGGTTTACCTCTGCGTTTCGCTTGGTGAGTGCAGGTGGCCGGAGGCCCTTTTTACTGGAAATGGGGCATTCCATCTTAGTTCTCACGGGTGACAACGCATCTACATTTTGATTTGTAATAGAGGATAGATGTAGATGTATATGGGCCGCAGGAACCACTTACCATCAGGTGGACTGTGTGCTCGTTTGTCACCCTTATTCTATAAAAAAAAAAATTACAGGGGAAGGAGATCCAGGATATGAATGATCGTTTTACTTCTAATACAGTCACCACTACTTAATTCAAAGGGTTAGAGTACTGACTGGCATTCTCGACATCACAACTGTCAAACTGTCAATATCATGGTGTGAAAGGACTTTTTTTCAAACTGCTTTCTTCATTAAAGTTACCGGTGAATAACCGATTTTTATGAACCGGTGCGCACCACTCACACCGTTAAAGCTTTTTGTTCACCCTCCTATCGGCTCTGATTTGGCACCGTGTGACTGCTTTTTATTCCCTAAAATAAAAAGAAATCATCTGAAAGGGATATAATATCCATCGCCGGAAGATGCGCTAGCAGCAGCTTTCGAGCTGGCCGTAGTAAATATGTACGTAGTAAAATGAATTCAAGCGCATTAATATTTTTATAGAAACTGGTTGACGGTTATTTGAAAAGATTAAATGAATAAAAATTATCCATCAAACTTTTGATAGTTTCGTAAAACTTTCTGAATAGCCTACGCAATGTATAACCTTCAACGTGTCTTACCTATGCTCCTTCAACGTGTCTTACTTCTAGATGTTACTAAAACTTGAAAATAAAGGATTATGCGCCATAACATGGTTATTGCTCTTTGAATACTTGTCCTTCTTTTACCAGCCCGTAACAGCCCGCAAGTGGCTGCGTAAGATAATATATTAATAATTTCATTTATTGCTTGATGTTTCGCCATGCGTAAAATATTCAGACCGACGACAGGGAGCAGAGTTAAATATGTGAGACGTCTTTTACTGCGATCATCAATTCACCTGCCAAGCGTGTGTGACGAGAAGCAAATCACCCTTCTAAAGGAGTTTAGAGTTCTGTTAAAAAAAAGAAAAAGAAAAACGGACTACTTGATATGGACCTCTACCAAAAAAAAAACACTCGTTGTCCAGCACATCCACGGTAAACAATTTGACATTGACAGCGCCTTTATGTCGTAGCAGTAAGAGCGGTGTTTATCCCACATCAAATAAAAAAGGAGGATGTTCTCCACTTAACTATAATTTTTTATTATTCACGCGATATCATATAAATTATAATACACAGAATTAAATCATAAAAAATAATAGTATAGTAGTAGTATATATTAGTATTAGTGCTAGTTGCTAAGAGCTCACATCATCATTTGTAACGTGCGTCAATATTACGCAGTCATAGAGCGATCGTGTAGATTTTTACTTGAGTATATTTGAATACACGCTCCTCAGTGATGATTAGAACACATTGACAGATTTTTTTTAATTTAATGTAAAGAAGCACAAAAGATACCGTACTATTTCAAGTGTTTATTATTAGTTTATATTTATTAAAAATAAATATTGAGCTACACGAATCACTAAGGAGAGTTGTTTCTTAAGAAGATACCACAGAACCCTTGTAAGGACTCCTAGTTGAGTCCAGTGCCAAAGCAGCTCGCAGGGAAACTAGCCATCATTAATGCTTTTCAGCATATTTTAAAATACCCACAAGATAGTATAAACCCATTCTGAGTATTCATTAAAGTTTCGTTTAGTTATTTGAGTGTATTAATAATATTATAAAGATGTTAATAAATTAAACACAAAAATAATGTCCTCATATAGTTTTATTTTTATATAAAAATCGAACTCACTCATCCATACTTCCCTCATTATATATAAATACAATTCTGTTTCTTGCATACAGAAATATTCAGAAAATAGCATTGGCTAATCACATTTAGCTAGCATTTATAACTAAGATTCAATTAACGTAAGCATTTTATAATACATCATGTGATATTGTTTAACGTAATCCATTAATAGTTATTGAATAAATGAAATTTAGCTTTTAAATATTTATCTGAGATAAATTTAATGTTTACATATATTACACATTGTATTTAGTTAATATCTATTTTTGCTATAATTTCGAATACTTGTCGGCGGAACCACATAAAAGCAATATAATATCACCTATTATAAGTACGAAAAGTCCTTACGATATAAACAGCTGGCACAATGAAGATCTAGACATGTTACGCATTGTTACAATTAAACATTATAAACTATTTTAAGCTATACGAGCTTACATGAAAAATATGTAAGTCATGTAACCGATAATATACACAATAAATAAAACCATGGAATGTTATTACAATTACGAGGCGCGTGGGCGTAGCTAGAAACTTCTACGCAGAGAAGAAGGGAAAATTTGGCACTATATCTTGTCATTACATTAGGCTTTAAATTTTCCTGAAAAGCGCCTGGCTTTTTTAAAGCCTCGACCTAACTCCTCCCTAGCCACGACCACGGGCAATGAAAGTTAAAAAAGATAAAAAAATAAATCTAAACTCTCAGTTACGATAAATTATAGCAAAAATACTTGCACACAGTTAGGCCACGAATGGTTTCACAACTAGAGCGCCACGGCACTGCGATGTTCGCGTGTGATTTCACAAGCGATAAACAGTCCAAAGACGGCATAGTTTCGTTGCAACTCGTGGGAGACGTTGCGTTGTGTTTTGTTGCAACAACAAAGCGGCAGATAGTGCTCTGCTATACCTGAAATTGAATGTTATGATAAATTTACACTGCACTTGGAATTCTTAATTGGTTATAAAGCGCCCTATTATTACCGTTAATAGCCGTTACACATACATAACAAAGAAATGCCTATATGCATGGTCTTGTAGTATGTTATACACACTTTGTCCTGTGTGTACGTGTGGAGCTTGTACACGGTACGTACGTGCGGCTAGTGCTCGTGTGCGTCGGCGTACAGCGTGGTCGCGATGTAGGGTGATATGAACACGGTACGTACGTGCGGCTAGTGCTCGTATATGTCGGTGTACAGCGTGGTCGCGATGTAGGGTGACATGTACACGGTACGTACGTGCGGCTAGTGCTCGTATATGTCGGTGTACAGCGTGGTCGCGATGTAGGGTGACATGTACACGGTACGTACGTGCGGCTAGTGCTCGTATATGTCGGTGTACAGCGTGGTCGGGATGTAGGGTGACATGTACACGGTACGTACGTGCGGCTAGTGCTCGTGTATGTCGGTGTACAGCGTGGTCGCGATGTAGGGTGATATGTACACGGTACGTACGTGCGGCTAGTGCTCGTGTATGTCGGTGTACAGCGTGGTCGTGATGTAGGGTGACATGTACACGGTACGTACGTGCGGCTAGTGCTCGTGTATGTCGGTGTACAGCATGGTCGCGATGTAGGGTGATATGTACACGGTACGTACGTGCTGCTAGTGCTCGTGTATGGCGGTGTACAGCGTGGTCGCGATGTAGGGTGATATGTACACGGTACGTACGTGCGGCTAGTGCTCGTGTATGTCGGTGTACAGCGTGGTCGTGATGTAGGGTGACATGTACACGGTACGTACGTGCGGCTAGTGCTCGTGTGTGTCGGCGTACAGCGTGGTCGCGATGTAGGGTGATATGTACACGGTACGTATGTGCGGCTAGTGCTCGTGTGTGTCGGTGTACAGCGTGGTCGGGATGTAGGGTGACATGTACACGGTACGTACGTGCGGCTAGTGCTCGTGTATGTCGGTGTACAGCGTGGTCGCGATGTAGGGTGATATGTACACGGTACGTACGTGCGGCTAGTGCTCGTGTATGTCGGTGTACAGCGTGGTCGTGATGTAGGGTGACATGTACACGGTACGTACGTGCGGCTAGTGCTCGTGTATGTCGGTGTACAGCATGGTCGCGATGTAGGGTGATATGTACACGGTACGTACGTGCTGCTAGTGCTCGTGTATGGCGGTGTACAGCGTGGTCGCGATGTAGGGTGATATGTACACGGTACGTACGTGCGGCTAGTGCTCGTGTATGTCGGTGTACAGCGTGGTCGTGATGTAGGGTGACATGTACACGGTACGTACGTGCGGCTAGTGCTCGTGTGTGTCGGCGTACAGCGTGGTCGCGATGTAGGGTGATATGTACACGGTACGTATGTGCGGCTAGTGCTCGTGTGTGTCGGCGTACAACGTGATCGCGATGTAGGGTGACATGTACACGGTACGTACGTGCGGCTAGTGCTCGTGTGCGTCGGCGTATAGCGTGGTCGCGATGTAAGGTGATATGTACACGGTACGTACGTGCGGCTAGTGCTCGTGTATGTCGGCGTACAGCGTGGTCGCGATGTAAGGTGATATGTACACGGTACGTACGTGCGGCTAGTGCTCGTGTGTGTCGGCGTACAGCGTGGTCGCGATGTAGGGTGATATGTACACGGTACATATGTGCGGCTAGTGCTCGTGTGTGTCGGCGTACAACGTGATCGCGATGTAGGGTGACATGTACATGGTACGTACGTGCGGCTAGTGCTCGTGTGCGTCGGCGTATAGCGTGGTCGCGATGTAGGTGGTGGGCACGAAGCCTTCTTCGCGCGTGTGGTGTCGGCGTACACGCGTCCAGCCATCTCCCGCGTCTGTTTCTAGCACCAGCAACCGCTCGCCGCACTCCATGCGCATGGTTGAGCCTGTACCGTTGGCTGTAATGAACAAAAAAAAGAGATATGATTAGAAAATTATAGAATAATTACCATTTTTTTAAACTTGATAGTAAGCTCTTTTAAAGTTGTAATCTTGATAAACTAGGATTCAAATTATTTCTTAAACGATTTTAATTATAGTAACAAATTATTAACTGTTTTATTGTGCTGTTTGTGTTAATATTGTAGCGTAAGAAAATCCATCACCACAATGAGACTAACTTATGTCTAAAATGGTGATTGATGGTAGCATTGCAAATTTATTAATTCTAGATATTATAACTTATTCCAATGAAAATAAAAAAATAAAATTAACTTAAATGTTTAATGTAAATCAATGTATAGTGTAGTGTATAGTTGTAGTATCCAAATAATTAAATTTGCAATATTATTAATTGCATAATGAGCAGAGCGTACACAGCGTTCTGCTCATTATGCAATTCAAACGACATCCCAAGAAAATAGTCCTAGCAACGCTAACTCACTTTTAATGATACTTCACGGTTACAACGTTTTGCAATACTTTTGCGGGCTGGGGATCTGGTTTGTTACTACAAAGTAGTACTCTTCGCAATATACTGTATGTTAGCTAAACTAAGCTACAAAAATGCTCACCTTCGAAGATATAGAGCGCCTTGCAATACCCGAGCGACTGGACGTTTGGTTCGTATTAGTAGTCGATGACTCGTGTTCGTAGGTGTCGCGTGCTTGTCGGGCACCCAAACGATATCCCAAGAAAGTAACGCTAGCAATGCAGTACTGCGTGAGAGACTGTACGTTAGTTTAGTCACACAACAGCTCGCTCACCTTCGAACGCATAGAGCGCTTTACAGTATCCGAGCGGCTGGAGGTCCGGCTCGTAGTAGTAGTCGAGGTCGGACTCGTGGTCGTGCGCGTCGTGCTCGTCGTGGTCGTCGTGGTGGTGGCCGTTGGCGTCGTGCGCGGCCGCCAGCTCGCCGCCCAGCCCCGACTCGGGCGAGCCGCCGGCCGCGCGCGCGCCGCCCGCCGCGCAGTGCGCGCCCGTGCCCGTGCCCGTGCCCGTGCTCACCGACGACTCGGACGCGGACCGGGACAGCGACTCGCTGTTCGACCCGATGCTGCAACCACAATTTTGAACTGAAAACTTCTCTACAATCGTTGCTAAGCTCGATGAAAAAAAAAAGCGACGCAGAAACGAGACAAACAGATACATTTATAGGATTTAGCCTGCGAGATAGTGACATAAGATATTGAAAAAATATTGTATTAAATTGGTCGTGTGTAGGCCAACTAGCGTCTAGTTTACATATCACCTTGAGACAGTCAATTTTTTTTGATAAAATGATTTTACTTATAAAATGAAGTAGATAGCGCTATTGCAAAGTAGTTTTACTGGAAAAAAAGATATTCTTTTCATTTATTACACTAAAATGTAAGCTCAACTTTACTGAAAATAAGAATTATAACATTTATTTGCTACAAAATTAAACTTTTATCTTATATTTTATGCCACACTTGTGGTTGAAAATTATCATATTAAATAAATTATTTAAAGTCAGTTAAGGTTACAGCCTATATACTTCGTCCCACAGCTGTTCATAGGCCTCCTATCATTTATAGGTTTTAGGGCAAGGTAATGTTCGCTACGCTGCTCCAATGCGTGTTGGCGAACTTCACATGTCTTTGCAATATTTTTTTTATTCTTATTTCTTAAACATGCAGGTTTCCTCACAAACTAACGATGTGTTCCTTCACCGCCTAGCACTTGGTAAATAATTTGCCGTTAAATAGTTTTAATTTTCATTTAATTGACGTGAGAACTGTACGCACGTTTTCTTTTAATAGAATATGGACGATAAACGAGAAAACAGTCCATCTGATCAGTCATTGAAGGCTCCGTGGCACAGTGGCTTAGCAATGAGTTGTTGCGCTGGGGGCTGCTGATTCAAATCCCGCACGAAACAAGTATTTGTATGGGCTACAAATAATTGTTCCGGGTCTGGATGTTTGTCCTCGTGTAATTTATGTTTGTAAACTGCCTCCACGATACAGGACAAAATCCTAGTTCGGTGGTAACATTTGTAATATATATATGTTACTGTCTCGAGCGCACCGCGTCAGTTACACGAGAGCCTCGGGCGAGAGTGGACGTGTTTAGTTAAGTGTGTGCCGAGCCTGTGTTACACTACAGTGATTAGAGAAGATAGCAGACAATACAAGTGGCGACGAGAAAAAAGGTAAATACCTGTTTTGTATAAAGATATAAACAAAAATATGTTAGCAATGTGCAACTATTAGCATTGCAATTGCAAATTGTAAACTAAATCCTAGAGTACCCGCGGAAAAAAAACTTTGGATTATGAATTATGATTTATTGTTTTTAACCCTGTTATGATCATTTTAATAATTTATATAAATTATATGTTCGCATATGAGACCACGCTTATAGTGTGCAAAATTTATTGTCTTTATGTAGCAATGATAAAATCATGATTTATTTTAACATATGTCTATTAGCACAACTTTTATTTAAAAAGATTTTTGATGGAAAAATAGTAAATGTAACTAATCACTCCTCTTGATTCGAACCGAAATACAATGTCGTTAGCTAAATTTTAGTGTCATTTTACATGTAGGTGTGATATTTATCGCCTTTAATGAAAATACTATTTTACCGCTTTCATGGCATATATGTCTTACAAAAAATCGTGGACACTTCACGACTTCTGTAAATTGCATAGTAGGTAACTTGTAATACTGTAAATGCGCATTATAGGTATTGAATTCACCCAAAGCCTAAATGGCACAGCAATGGAAGTAGTCGGTATAACAAATAAACCGAAAGAAAAGGGCGAATGTTATGGAACATATTACTATCATGAAATTGAGTTTGGGTACCAAGATACCAACCATTAAAATGGTGTTGGGTACTAAGATACCATCATTAAATTGAGTTTGGATACTAAGATACCACCATTAAATTGGAGTTTGGGTACTAAGATACCACCATTAAATTGGAGTTTGGGTACTAAGATACCACCATTAAATTTGAGTTTGGGTACTAAGATACCACCATTAAATTGGAGTTTGGGTACTAAGGTACTACCATTAAATTGGAGTTTGGGTACTAAGGTAGGTACCACCATTAAATTGGACTTTGGGTACTAAGTTACTACCATTAAAATTGGACTTTGGGTACTAAGTTACTACCATTCAATTGGACTTTGGGTGCTAAGTACTACCATTAAATTGGACTTTGGGTACTAAGTTACTACCATTAAATTGGACTTTGGGTATTAAAATACCAGCATTAAATTGGAAATAAATATATAAGAAACTGTTTCAGTTTGCCCCTAAAATAATAATACGAGGGCGGCACTGAAAATTTCGGGAATCAAGGAAGTGACACAACATTACTATTTAAAAATGTATTTATTGCTTTTCGAAGTGTTCTCCGCGAAATTTGACACATTTTTCCATACGATGGAACCAATCATTGAAGTAACCATTCCATTCGGAAGTTGGGGTCTCCAAAATGGCCGTTTTGTAGAGGTCCACAGCTTCTTCCGGTGATGAAAATCTCTGTCCACGCAATTTATTCTTTATTTTAGAGAAAGTATAGAAATCATTAGGGCTTAGGTCGGGGCTGTACGGCGGATGGTCTAATAATTCTATGTTTTCTTGCTCTAAAAACTCTTTTGTTCTGTGTGCGGTGTGAGAACTCGCATTGTCGTGATGGAGGATGATGCGGCGGTTGCAGTTGTCTTTACGGAGTTCAGAAAAGACCTGTGGCAAACAAATGCTATCATACCATTCTGCATTAACTGTTCTTTGTCCCTCAAGAGGAATAGTCGTAACATGGCCGGTTTTGGAGACAAACGTGGCCACCATTTTTTTTTGCAACACTCCGTGAACTAACAATTTTTGTAGGCTTTAACTCATTTTCGAACACCCAAACTCGTGACTGGTTTTTTGTTTCGGGTCCGTACGCGTATATCCAGGATTCGTCACCTGATACGATGTTGTATACAGCATTTGAGGATCCTGCGTGGAATCTTTCGAGAGTTCTGACGCACCAAGTAACGCGAGCCGCTTTTTGCTCTTCACAGAGCGAATGCGGTATCCATCGGAAAAACAACTTTTTTACACCTAATTGTTCATGCAAGATTATTTGTATTTGACTCATGCGAATGTCTAAAGTTGCCTGAATTTTGCGGTATGTCACATGTCGATCTTTCTCAATCAGCTTATGCACAGCATCAACGTTTTCTTGGGTGACTGCAGTTTCTGGACGACCTTGACGGGGATCATCACTGAGCTTGACACGTCCACGTTGAAATTCAGCAAACCAGCGATAAATTGTGGTTTTGGATGGGGCTTCATCACCAAATGCAGAAATCATCCGGTCAACACACTGTTTTTATGTTAAACCACTTCACAAGTCATAATAAATCATCGCTCTTGAATTTTCTCGAGTCAATTCCATTTCAACGACTAAACAAGTTTGACCAAACCTTGTGACAAGACCGAGAATCTTTTTTTAAATAAATAAACGGTATTCGATTTTTAAAACCAAGGACTTTTCAATTAAAAATATTTTAATATGACAGGAACAGTGGAAATATTCCATTCCCGATACTTTTAGTGCAGCCCTCGTAATAATGATACCGTTATCAACTTTAATGTGATAGCACATCTATGGCTATAAGGTGTGAAAAATGGAAAAGGTCTCTACTAATCTATCTGGACACAGCTGAAGTTATATCAGCACTCAAGAAACGAGCTACGCTATTGCATTTTGGTGGCTCTGGGATACAAGAAATATTCTACAATTTACCGGGTGCCAATGTAGAATCATCAGAAACCGTTGATGTATTTAAAGTAGCCATAAAAAAAACTCTACGAGTATTTTCAACCTAAACGGAGCAAAGTTTATGAGCGGCATGTTTTTCGATTGCTAAAACAGGAAAAACTTCTCAAACAGGCCGAAAAGTGTGCATTCGAAAAGCAAGATGATCATCTCATAGATCAAATTGCGGAAAAGTGTAATTCGAAATTGCGCAAGAACCTTATATCTTACAAAACGTGGGAAGAGTTAAAAAAGCAAAAAAGTATATGCTTTTAATCAAATGTAAAGACCAGACAAGACATTATTAGCATATGGCAGTAACTCTTCTTTGGCAATAGAGGGTTCATTTGAAACTATACTCGAAGTCGATGGACGAAAGAAACATACAACTATTTACGTGATTTCGGGGGGTATTAGAGACCTGTTGGGTAAGAACACAGCAGTCCGTCTGAGTGTCTTAAAACTTGGTATCGGGATAGATCAAGTGGAGAGTACCAATCCCCATTAAAGAGAAGGTTGCAATCAAAATTAAGGAATCACTAAACAGTGATATAATTGAAGAAGTGCAAGGTCCGTCTAAATGGGTTTCACCAATATTCCAATCATGAAAGAAAATGGTGAATTACGTTTGTGCGTAGATATGAGATGTACGAACGCCGCTATATTGCGAGAAAACCACCCCCTGCCTACTATGGACCATTTTTGCCTAAAATGAAGAAAGCTAAATATTTTAACAAATTAGACATAAAAAAATGCCTTCCATCAAGTGGAAATTCACTCTGAATCCAGACACATAACGACTTTTATAACCCCCAAAAGATTATATAGATATAAAAGAATAATGCTTGGAATTACCTGCGCTTCCGAGATTTTTCAGAAGATCATTGAAATGATGCTGATAAACTGTGAAGGGGTCGTCAATTTTATTATATTTATATTTTGATGATATCCTCGTATTCGGGAACAGTGAAGAAGAACATGACGCATGACTAAAGAAAGTTCTACAGGTACTTAGTAAAAACAACGCCGTGCTGAATAGCAATAAATGCATATATAAAACGCAGGATGTGAATTTTCTGGGATACACATGAAGGAGTAAACCCTTCAACAAGTACGTTGAGAGTATTATGAAATTTAGGGTCCCAAAGACCATAGAAGAACTCCAAAGTTTTTTAGGACTCTTAAACTACATAAACAAATGGATACCTAACTTGGCCGCCATGACAGAACTTCTGAAGCACCTGCTAAGACAGAAGATGAGCAAAAGGA